AGGGACAAACAATTCAGTTGTCATTCGTCAAGGCTAACCAACCAATCAGATGGCTGCGTCATCCCTCTTGAAACCCACTTGTCACCAGAGGGAGGAAGAAAATAGGAGACAAATAAATAATTCTCGTATCACTCTATTTGCATGAATCGGAAATAATTTAGTGTTTCTTCTTGGTTGAATGATCTACGCAAACGCGTTTGCATATTCCATTAGTTCTGAATCGGTTATCGTTGCCGCCGCAACCGGTGTAGACGAAACGAACACAATGACCTTTTGAGGCATCGTAACCCCACGATACAAATCGGTCTTTGCAGTTTCCTGGCGCAATTGGTAGCTTGCAGATTTCACTTTTGCCTGAAACCAAAATAAACTCCATCATGTGCCAAATGCAGCAACTATGCGCCCTCAAGTCTCGCTAACAGTTCTTCATTGTCTGCTTCAGATGTCACTACCGAGATGACAAGTGGCTAGTCTCAAAAGAATGTCGAATAAGTTGACTTGTAATTTCCGGCTTGAGGCGCGATCACCTCGGAACCTTGCCATTTATCTTTCGTGAGCTTCTCATGCTACTTCCACAAGAAAGAGGGAAGAGAAAAGGTAGAAGGCAGAGCTACACATTCAAGGTGATTAGTAATGATAGGATTCGATAGGAGAGTGAGTGGTGACGTTCTTGATGGAGGTGAGGCAGCAAGCAATAAAAGGGAGGATCGGTCACTCGCTTACCTTGAACGAGGCTGGCAACGCAAAGCAGTGTGAAAGTCAAGACAGCGAGCTTGGCCATTTCGCTGTGGCAATGCAGTTGACTGGTTTTGTGTGGAAAGTGTCATCGCGTTTTATTTACACTTCACGAGTGCTCAAGTCATTGGTTCGAAAAAAAGGCTTCAAGGAGTGCGGCCTCTCCAACGTAGTCGTGACGATGGGTGTAAATCACACGGTTAAAAGAAAGTTCTTTACAGAAAAGTGCATCCATGTTGATAGCGAACTTGAAAATCGTCGTCTTTAATAACCGTCGAAGCTTACCTAAAATGGAAGGTAAAGAAATTAAAGATTCACGAGTCCTTATGGAAATTTACAGGGGGGACAAAGAAGCGCCTTTTAATATTTATGATCATGCTACTTGAAAAAGGAGGTAGAAGTCGCAAACCATCGCCTGTCTGATCCTCCTTTCTCCCCGTCCTCCGCCCGCCTTACTAAGCATTACGCTGCTCATCCATTCCAGCATGGCAGTCTTAATCAACACGTTCGACTGCAATTTGTTGAACGCAGTCTCCATGACTGACACTTCAATTAAGGTGGTAACATTGCCTATCACAAGCTCCACATCTTCGCCACAACTCTACAAATAAATCAGTCCACTTTCATCAAATCTCTTCTTGTTTTCCTTTGCTCTTTCGTTTCACAGGCGGCCCTCCACACGGCCAAGTTGCAACAAGAAGGAAAGTTAGTTTGGGATTTGACGTGATAGTGCAGCGATCAAAGGCGTCTCTTTCGGGCCAGGTGACAGCGATCTCAATCAGAAGGAAATTGCGTGACTGATCACAGGAGTGTTGGAGGTGCACAGTTCAAAATTAATCACTTGTCTTCAAGATGGCACATCGCACTGTCCATGTGTGAAATTGTGCCAGTCACTAATTCTTATGCACTTTCCACTCTCATGGTGGATTGTTTCCTCGGTTCGCGCCTACTAAAAGGATGAAAGGCGACTCAAACCGGTGATGGCACCACACCGCCACAGTCGGATCTGCTTCAAAGAAGGCTCAAACGTATGTAAATCTGCCATGAAGGTGTAGAAGCATGTCAATCTCTTTAGTCCCACCAACTCCCTGCTCCACAGTACTGCACAAATGTGGAAATCCAACTCAAGTTTGTCCAACAAGGAAAGCAAAAGCCTTTTAACCAACTGATGTCAAATGGATGTAATGATGACCTCTCATGGCGTGGACTTCCCATTTCCTGTTAAACCCGTGCCATCCTGACCCTCCTCTCTTCATCGTGCATCAGGATTTGTTTTTGTTTTTTATTTCCATTTACGAATTCTCTACACACGCTGCACAACTTCGACAAAGAATGTGTCGCTGGTATTGGAAGAAACACCCTCGTAAAGCACTTGTGAAGGTCACCACTTCTCATGGTGAGGTGAATGTTTCGAGTCCCAAAGATGACGCCAGTGAGCTTCTTCCAATGCTCCAGTCCGTGTTCGCTTTGCTTATTCAAACATCTTTGCATTTTTTCCTCTCCCCATGAGATTTTTGCAAGGCACAAGAGAACATATAACTTGTGTCAATTTTTTAAACTAAAAGTACACATGCATTTTCACCCTCGCCTCCGTGTACACTGAAACGGCTTCTTCTTTCGCCTCCTCTTCCTTCCCTTTCTCTTCTTATAATTACTGACACAGGCGGTCATGCATTTCAACCTGTACTGAAACCGATTTGCATTGCCTTTGCAACCGGTGTAGACGAAGGGCACGCAGGTGCTTGATGCGTTGTCGTAGCCCCAGGCTCGGGTGTAGGTTTCGCAGTC